TTCCTCCTGCCTTGCTTTGGAGTCATGGAGGAATAGAGGATTGGCCTGGGATTTTTTCAGTGTTTAACTGGAGGATAAGTAAGGAAGAGACATGGATTTTCCAATTAAATGCCTTAAGGGAGTAATTTAAGCTCATATCTAAACAGCTGAGCCCAGGTTGTTGGAAAGATGAGCGGTCACTTGCCCTGCATTGGAATTTGGTGGTGGTTAGAACTTTTGAAAATTGAAATAATAATGTAGTATTAATTGTGAAAAAGCCTGATGCATGAAGTAGTTCTGTCTGAACCATTATTTTAGTATTCTTTCCCAGTCACCTTGTGTGTTAGCATAAAGTGTTAGCTCCTGGCAGTATAGTTGTGAGGTAAACCTGTTTCCAGCATTCACTGATTGGGTGTGTGTGTGAGTGTGGAGTTCCTTTTGGAACTCCTTGTGGAGTTCCTTTAAAGGCCACAACCTTCAAAGAAAATTGTCATAGGTGCAAAAGCATTTTAGGCTTTCAGCATCCATCCAAGGGAAGAAAAGAGCTGGCAAAAGCAATCCCTTTCTTTAGTTTCCTTTGCTGATGATCAACCATGTTGGACCCTGGGCAGGAGCAAGATTTGCAGTTGTTGTCCAGATGGCAGGTCCTAATGTTGGTTTGTCTTGCTGAATTGGAGCAAGAGCTGTCTTGTACTTGGGTCACACCAACCCCCTGCAGCTCCAGACTGGGACAGAGGGATTGGGAAACTGGGAAAGGCCCTGTGGGTGCTGGTGGCAGTGGCTGGACACAAGCCCAGGTGTGCCCAGGGGGGCAAGAGGCCAATGGCCCGGGGCTGTCCCAGCCGTGGTGTGGCAGCAGGGCCAGGGCAGTGCCCTCCCTGTGCTGGCACTGCTGAGGCACCTCCAGTGCTGGGGCAGTTCTGGGCCCTCAGACAGGAGAGACATTGAGGGGCTGGAGCGTGTGCAGGGAAGGGAACGGAGCTGGGGAAGGGTCTGGAGCAGCAGGAGCGTCTGAGGGAGCTGGGGGGGCTCATCCTGGAGAAAAGGAGGCTCAGGGAGGACCTTCTGGCTCTGCAACTCCCTGACAGGAGGGGGGAGCCAGGGGGCAGTCAGGCTCTGCTGCCATGGAACAAGGGGCAGGATGAGAGGAAACAGCTTCAAGCTGTACCAGGGCAGGTTTAGATGGGATATTAGGGAAAGTTTCTTGACCAACAGTGTGGTCAGGCATTGGAAGGGGCTGCCCAGGGCAGTGTTAGAGTCCCCATCCCTGGGGGGATTTAAAAGCCATGTGGATGTGACACTTGGAAACACAGGTTAGTGGTGGCCTTGGCAGTGTTGGGGAATGATTGGACTCAATGGTCTTGGAGGGCTTTTCCAGACTAAACATTTCTGTGATTCTATGAGAATGCCCCAAATGAGTTACTTCTCCGTTGCTGCTCTTCACGTATCAGACTCACCACTTGTTTCCACAAGTCCAACAAGCCCAGAGCAACCTTTGGGAGAAAGGGGATGGACTTAAAATGTCATAAAAAAATGCTTGTTCTTATTATTTGCTGATTAAGGGTAAAACTGTATAGTTGCCATAAAAACTGTACAATCCTCCTAGAGCAAGAACCCCATTTAGATCACTCTTAATGACAGCTATTAATAATAATTATGCATTACAGTAATACTGATAATTGCTAAGTTATAATAAGCAGTTTGCACATCTATTGACTTTTTCTGCTGATGATTCCTCCTTTAATGGTCATAATAATGAGCACAGCATGGGCCCCGTAGAATCATGGGATCCTAGAATGGTTTGAGTTGGAAAGGACCTTCAAGGTCATCTAGTTCTAACCCTCTGCCATGGGCAGGGACACCTTCTGCTAGATCAGGTTGCTCCAAGCCTCATCAAATGGAAATTTGATGGTGATTAATTATCATTAAGGAATGTATCTGGGAATCCTTAGTGCTAAGCCAACACGGATCCAAGGGGTCACCACTCCATGAAGAGCTCTCAAGAACGTTTCTTTGATCGATGTGGGAAGTTACCAACTGCCTTGGTGCTCAAATGTGGGTTTGGGTTTTTCTTTCAAAAGCTCTTTTTTTGTACATGTTTTGAGGGTGAGGCAAGATGGGAAAGCTGCTTTTGGGCACAGAGGTTTCCTGGCTCATGGTACCAGAAGAACAGGAGACCATACAGTTCTCATGTCAGGAAACTGGGGTGGAGAGGGTTGATCTTTTAAATGGGAGAGAAGGTTTAGTGTTAATGGGGAGAGTAAACCTTTGCAGGTGGACTTGAATTGGTCTGGATCTTGGTGGATGCTTCCCTTCCCAAGGTACCTCCTGCCAAGGAGGAAGGGCTTCCAAAGGTGTTCCTTTGAAAGGGCCAGGCAACTTCAAAGAGGAATCATCCTGTAGGACCCAGAAAATGGGCCTCTGTAAATCTTTGATCGTCTTGGTTGGGTTTTCTCAAATGGGTTTTACAGACACGCATCTCACACTTGGTAGATTTAGGTAGAGCCCAGAATTCAGTGGGTAACACCTGAAAAAGCTTCCAGAGGATGGTGGCCAAAACAGGGCTCGTCTGAGCTCTGGGACATCCCTGGGCAGGCTGGTGGCATTGGAGAGGGCAGCTGCAGGCAAACTGGTGAAAATCTAAATCTGAAATGGGTGAGAAATGGGTTGGCTGACAGTGCATATTGGCAGTGGCACCGGCACATCGGGATGTCAGTCTCTGTGTCATAACAGGATTAACAACAACTTGGTGCAGACCAAACACGTAAAAATGATTACAGACTGTGATTGTGTTTTTTTCTTACTCTAAGGGTTAGATGACAACCACCTCACTGTCCATACCTGGACACCTGCACCAAGGATCTTTGTGTACAGTGATGATCCTGTCTCAGGTTTAGGTGGTAACTCATGACCTTTAGACATAGGGGAGTTTTCTTCCTGATAAGTGATGGTTTTCTTTAGAGAGATGTGATGGTATTGCAAGACGACTTGGTCTCAGAGTTTCCTACTAGAGATCCATAAATATCTCAAATATGTGGTTTGTGCTGTTTTGTTGCACCTGGTGACTTCTGACAAACCCACTCCCTTTCAGTTCACCATCTCTGCTGTTGCTAATCACAAAATGTTGGTTGGACACAGCAGTGAGCACCCCAAAAGTGGAGGCATGCGTTAGCCCTTGCTCTACTTTGTGCTTTAGCATGGGTGTTCAAGGGGGAGCATCCCCAGGGCTGGATTTCCTTCAGTGCCACCTTAAAAAAAAAATTAAAATAAGCAAAACAACTTCAGGCTTTGTAATGTGTGGCCCCAGGAGGTGCAGGGATAACCTTTGACCCTGCTTGCACCATCCCAAGTGTTGCCATGATGCCACCTGTCCTCTACCTCATGTGGTCATTTCTCATGCCATCACTCATGGGAGCCTCCTATCCTCCCAACTCTTTCTTTAGCACTTTCTATTTCATAATTTGTTCCTTCCATTTGGTAATTGGCACTAATTAGCAAAAAGGGTAGAAGTATGCCCTTCTCCAGGGCTCCACACTCTCTGGGGCTCCTCCTTTTTTATTTCTTGACTTATTTCTTTTTTCTGTCTCCTTTTTAATGCGCCATATGATTTTTGTTCAGGAGCTAATGTGTGATATTGATCTACATAATGAGCCTTTTTGACAGTCTGGGCACATTTGGGAATAATTCCTTGAGAAGAAGAAATCCTTAGGCCAGAACTGCTCGTTCTTGGCAGTTTCCAAATGAAGCCACAATTGTTCAGAAGTGACAGATGAGAAAATAGTTCAGGAGCTGGAAATTACATGAGCTGGGAGCAGATTTACTTTTTTTCCCCCTTCCCTTCCGGATGGCATGTGGCTCACTCTGAATTTGCTTAGTAATATTATACTTGTCTCAAAGCAGACTGTAAATACCAGCTCCTGGTGAAGAAGAGGGTGAAGGATGAAGTCGCTGTGTCCTGGGGAGCTCTGTGTCTTCTCCCTCCCCGCTGCAGGGAAGGAGGTACATGAGTCTTACCACAAGACATTCATCCAAAGCTTAGTTCTTTCCAGACATAGAATCACAGAACATCCTGAGTTGGAAAGGACCAACAGGGATCATCCAGTCCAGCTCCTGGCCCTGCACAGGACAACTCCAACAATCCCACCCTGTGTCTGAGAGCATTGTCCAAACACTCCTTGAGCTGTGTCAGCCTTGGTGCTGTGCCCACTGCTCTGGGGAGCCTGTTCAGTGCCCAACCACCCTCTGGGGGAAGAACCTTTTCCTGAGATCCAACCTAACCCTGCCCTGACACAACTTCAGGTCATTCCCTTGAGTCCTTTCACTGGTTGCAGAGAGCAGAGATCAGCAACATGCCCGGCACAGGTCTGGGAGCTGGTGGTTTCTTTTCTTTCCTGTGTGATTGGCACTGAGCCCTGGAGAAATAGGGAGAGGACATGAGCATCGTAAAGGCCCTATGCCTTCTGTAGAGCCACTCTCCTGCAGTGAGAGGTTTTAAAAATAAATTCTGTTGTGCTCTCTGCTTCACCTCCCTGCTGGACCATTTACAGTCACACCACCGAGTCAGCATAATTTACTGCCACAGTCCTAGAGAAGCTTTTCAGTTATCATCTTCTTCCTACCCCTCGTCCATCATTCCCGGCTTCTCACCCTTATCCAGGATATTAAATGTGGACTTATTAAATTAAGCATTTTAGTTTTGGTTTTCTTTTGTGCACGTATCTGGAGGTTTTCAGCAGTGTGTTTTTTTAAGGAGAAGGGCAGGAAATACGTTAGTCGCCCTCAAATGTAGGAATATTACAGAAACGGAACTTTTTTTTTTTTTTTTTGCACACCTGGAAGCTCTAAATGCGACTACCTAGGATTATGATAAATGCAGATGTACAGCAAAAAGAAAATATCCTTTCCTGTGGTAACCGACAGGCTTTGGCTGCTGGTTTTGTGTTTTTTGGTTTTTTTTTTACTTTTCTTGTAATTACTGGGAAATATTCTCCTTACCCTCTTTTTTATTTCGCTTTTTCCAGGCCCGCTCCGTTCTTGGCGTGTCCCCTGAAGGGATGGAGAACTCGTCGGTGGCGTCGGCCTCCTCGGAGGCAGGGAGCAGCCGCTCCCAGGAGATCGAGGAGCTGGAGCGTTTCATCGACAGCTACGTCCTGGAGTACCAGGTCCAGGGGCTGCTGACGGACAAAACGGAGGGGGATGGCGAGAGCGAGAAGACACAGTCCCACGTCTCACAGGTGGGAGGAGGGGCTGTGGGGCTTGTGGCTTGGCGTGGGGATGTGTGTCGAGGCTGAAGGAGCTTTTCCGGGTTTTGTACGTGAAGGAGAATGGGATGGAACGCCGGATGCGGGGCAGCTTGCTTGTTTGGTGGTATTTATGGAGATATATAGATACAGATACAAATATAGATATAGATGTGTATGTAGATAGATAGATACATATAGATATATGTATATATATACACACATTTATATACACACATATATGTGCGTGTATATATATAAAAATACACATATGTGTGTGTGTCTGTATGTCTGTATATGTATAGTTACTTACATATATGTATATATGAGGTCTCCATCCAGTTGGTAGTGGTCTCCTGATGCTGGGTTTTGGGTTTTCAAGATCTTAGTGGTCTCCTGATACTGGGTTTTGGGTTTTCTGGATCTCAAAGGTGTGTCCCTGGAAGTGTCCAAGGCAGGCTTGGAGCAACCTGGTCTAGTGGAAGGTGTCCCTGCCCAAGGCAGAGGGGGTGGAATGATGGCCTTTAGTGTCCCTTCCAACCCAAACCATTCCATGATTCCATATGAAGGATCCCATCTTTCTCTGATATCAGCAGCATTTCTCTGATTGATCTGGGCTGTGCTCAACTGGAGCTGAGGGTCTGACCCACAGCTCTGGACCTGGTTTGTGTTATCTCAGTGTAAATAAACTGCCAATCAAAGGAACCTTTTCAAGAATAGATTTTGCTGAAGAAGTCTTTTACAATTTGAGGATTGAAGCTGCTGAAAGTGTGAGAAAATAAATTTAAGACTCTAGTGATCCAAAGTACTTCATAGTGCATTTTTTTTAACCCAAGGCTGGAAAATGTCTGTGTTTGAAGTGACACTTTGGAGGGGCTTCATGTCCAACAGGCAAGTGCTGCTTATTAGCATGTCAAGATTGGAAAAAGTTGTGAATTAGAACTAATTTAATAGACAAAGTTTCACAACCTCTTCCAGCCTGTCCACAGCTCTGCCAATAGGCCTGGGCTCCCTCTGCATCTTGAGGATGTGTACAATTTTTGCATTAAGATCCTTGATTGCAACAACCAAATCCATCTTCCATTTGTGGAAATGGGATTTTAGCTTTCCTTCCTGGCCTGCACTGAAAAAAAAGGAGGTGCTGGGCTTCTGATGTAAGTTCTGAGAGTGTTCTCTTTCAAGATGGTTAGGTTTTACTTTAAAAGAAAAATTCATAATAATGAAAGAACTGAACGTGGAACCTCTTAATTAAACCACTTTTAGAGGCACCTCAAATGAAGCAGCTAAATGTGGTTGTACCCCAGACCATTGGTGTAGAAGTTTAATTAAGATTTGTATGTGAAGCTTCATCAAAATGTGATATTTCATATTTTGGGGGCTGTATATCGGACAGAAAGTGAGGATGGGCTTTTACATAAGTCAGCTGCATTCATCAAGCCATGTCTCAATGGATACGTTAAGGAAGAATTATCTCTTGTCTCTCAAAGATTTTCATTTTTACTACCTTGTATCCCAAATTTGTATAGGAAATAATCAGGAATTTTTATTCCCGATTTTCTCTTCCTGATCACTACTTAGCAAAGCAAGGAATAAACACACACATATCCTGCAGCTGGCTGGAGTAATCCTAGTGGAAGCTATCCTGATAGAAGGTGGCATGTTCCCTCTTAATGAGAGCTAGAGGAAGAAGGATGGGTTTAGGGGAAAGGCACTGGACTGAGACCAAGAAATTTGGTTTTAACTGCAAGGATCTGCCAGCAACTAAATCTTTAACGTTGGGCAAGTTACTTAATCTCTCTGTCGTTTGTTTCCTTATGGCTGCAATAATGTTTTCCCTGCCTGAGAGAGGATAAATCCACTCACCCGTGTGTGTGAGCTGCTCGGATGGTACCACATCCATGGACAACTGCTCTCTGTGCTGGGGGAGGGAAGGGGAGGCACACTGTGCAGTGCTTCATCCTTCACACCACTCCCAGGGGAGCTGAACCCGTCACCAGTTTAGAGAATCACAAAGTGTGGATGTCTTCAATCTCGCTCCCACTAGGGAAAAGAGGAGAGTCAGAGAGAAAATGCAGTTTTATTTTGGTTGTGGACATAATAATGAGTGAGCTGTGCCTCGAGAGAGGCACTCAAAATTATTAAAGGAGATAGGCACAGGTCTAGGAGGAGGCTCTCAAGAGTGATGGCATCATGAGCCTCTCCAGTTGGGTCATCAGAGGTGTCAGGAGACTGATGGGCAGCTCTTTAACAAGGGGAGACTGAGGTCCCTCCACCTCTGATCTAAAACAGGCTCTTTGATAAGGGCAGGAATCGTGGGCAGTTCTAGTGGTGACTTATTTTGTGGCCTCATCCATACCTGTCAAGGAGCTCTCAGGTAGTTGCTGTTCGTGTGGAATTGACTTCCATTTTCTTGGAGTGTTGCCCTTGGTGATGGTGCCAAATGCTGAATGTCTTATGGAGCAGACACGTGGTTCCAAGAAGGACCTCAGAAATGGGGCTGGTCAGTCTCAATTTTGTTGGGGTAGTGACAAAATATCTTCAGGATTAAGCAGCATCTCTCATGTTTGTCCAGTGAGAGTTTCTCTTTTTTTTAATTTTTTTCCCCCACTGTGATGCTGCCCTTCATTTCTTTTGAGGGGAAAAAGGAAACCAAAACCTAACAAATGATCCCAAATTCAATTATTCTGTTGGATGCACCTTACTGTCAAACCTTGGGGGAAGCTGGCCTAAGCAGCTCGTGATCCTCTGTGGCCACATATGGCAATGGCCAAACTTACTGCTTCGAGCCTCATTTTCTGTTTTGTTTAAAATAAAAACACAGGGTTTTGACAGCTCAGGGCTCATGTCTGTCCCTGAAGCAAACAGAGTTAGGAAAAGCAGAAATTTCCCAACTTCCCATGGAAAAGAGCGATTAAGTCAAGCCTCCCTGGTGTGTACCACCTGAGATTCCAAACACTGTCTGAGTCTGCAAGGAAGCGTCTGGGATGGGTTTTATTGCAAAGCATCATTTCAGGTGCTTCCCTACGATTTTTCCTGTATCTTCCCTCTATTTGCTGGTGCCGGGTGGAGCGTTTCCAAGCCAAAGCCTTTGGGATCATCCTCAAAAAGGAGGGGGTGCCACAGGCGTACAGTGATGCCCGTGGCTGCACGGTGTTTTCTGTGCACTCTGGACTGACACAGCAGTTTTCCCCAGCCTGGCTATTATTTTACACAATCCCCTTTTTTATCCCTTTTGCAGTGGACGGCGGATTGTAGCGAGCAGCTCGATGGCAGCTGTTCCCCATCCCGAGGGAAGGGCTCGTCATCTCACGAACACAACCAGGTAGGGCTTGTGTTTAGTTCTTTCCTCCCCAGACCTTTGCTTTTATTCCTGCACTGCCTCGTCGTGCAGCACGGAGCCTGCCTGTGCTGCCAGCTTTCCCTCTCCCATGGAAGGAGAGATGTGTCCCTCTGCTTGGCATCCGAAAGCTCATTCCTGCCAAAACCATGGGAGGTGGGCGACATCCTGATGTGTGGATGGACGCTTTGACCAGGAGCTTATTGCTCTGCAGTAAAGAGGAAAAAATAGAGAGTCCCCCATTTATTCCTGAAGAGCTTCTTGTTACCACCTGTGTGAGGGACAGATTTGGAACATCAGAGCTGACTTGAAATTATGAGATGTAGCTGGAAGGAGGGATCTCTGTGTAGCTGGGTGTCTTGGTTATGTGCTGCAGCACAAGGATGGTGTTACAGGGAAGAGGATTAAATAGCTGAGAGGATGAACTGGGAGAAGAAGCAGAACTGCATGTGCTGAGAGGCTGTGTTGGGCGTGCAGTAACAGAAGCCAGGCACGAGTCGGTTTTTGGTGGTTGTATGTGGTGTAAACACCAGTGAAGAATATTTGCCAGGCACTGCTGGAGGTGACTGTCCCTCCTCTATGTGAAGCACCCATGTGGGAAAGGGTTGGGAGGGGTAGAGGCATGGGTTTGACCACTGTCACCTGGCTGAGGAGCTGCAGTGTCACCATGAGACCATCAGCTCTGTGAGAGCAGCATTTGCCCAAGGAGAAATGAGACCCAGGTACCTCAGGAAGGGCAAAACAGCATTTCCAGTTGCCCTGGTTGATGGATGTCCCACCTGGAGAAGGGGCTTCAAGCTGGTAGGTTTTGTGTTCTTGCCCTGCTTGGTGTCCTCCAGATTCATCCCCATAGGTGGGATCCGTGAGAAGGAACCTGGGAGCCCCTTGCAGGGTGTACAGGAGGCTGTGCCTGTCTGAGCAGTGTGTGTCACAACTCTCATTTTGGGCACAGTTTCTTCACACATTGAGCCATGCTGGAACTCCTTAGATTTGGGATGGGGGCTTATGCATTCCCTCCATGCCACAGGCCTGGATGCAGGGATGCTGGGAGCATCTATACCAACACCTGCACCCAACAAAGACAAGATCTTGTGTAGGAAGGTTGTACTGAATGGAGACACTGCTTCAGGTGAGCCTCTGAAGATGCTAGATGGAACTGTGGATTTAATTTGCTATAGCTTTGGTCTGCTCCAAAATATTCAGCAGCAGAACCTCATCCAGGCTCCCTCCCAGCGTTGCAGGCAGATGCTTGATACTCAGCTGGGAGGTTGACCTTGTCCATCGAGCCTCCTTGGGTGGCTTGGGGTGTTGGCAGGACCACGTGCTTTCCCTGGGGAAGTATCCAATCCTGGTTCTTCACCCATGGGTTCTGTTGGTGTGGGTACCACAGGAGGATGCAGGAGTTGTGCACGAGTGATACTTCTCTGGCATCTTCCATCTGCCTAGTGCTATGGGCTCTTTTGTTTCAACTTACGTGGTTTTGGGGGCGTTTTCTTGCTGGATTTTTTTTTTCCTGGGAATTAAACCTATTTGATCTGCACCAACACGGAGCTTCTTTTCCACACACAAATACCATTTGCTGATGCCGAAGCTGTTTACCCGGTGTTTGGGCTGTCTCCCAGCCTGCAGCAGAGCTAGTAATTATCTCTCTCCATGTTTGGCTTCCTTTAACTGTGAGTAACAAATTTTCCTTGGCACCATAGAGGAGCTGGAAGCTATTGTTCTTCTGTCCAGCATTTCTCTTGCTGCTACTGATATACGAGTGAAATGCTGCTGGTGAGGACCAGGTGCAGTTTATTACCATTTCTGGCTGTTGAGTTTTTGCTAGTAGCTTTCAACATTAAAAAAAAAAAAATCAATCATTAATAAGGTGTTTGTCTTGAATGAAAATTATCAGTCACTCTTCAAACCTCCTAAGGAAGAAGCTGACTAATTATTTCCCAATGGATGTAGGGGGTGGGGTTTTTTTGTTACAGTTTTTTATGGATTTCGAGGAGTTTGGACAGAAAATTGAATTCCTAATTTTCCTATTGTGTTTCCCGCTGATATTTCTGCATTGCTGGTCTTAGTTGAAAAATACTTGGATGTGAGATTTCTACTGGCTTCAGCTACTGTGGAAATGTGGGTTGTGTGTCAGTGACCGTGATATGCCTCACGTGGTTCTAACCTGGCCATCAGAAAGGGCATTTGTATGGAAATCTAGGTTAGTCCTGGAAATATATTCAGCATCTGGTTCATTTTCTGTGAAGGCAGAGTAGTCCAGGGCTGCATTTTTAAAAGTAATTGGCTTCCTAAAGGTTATAGGGGAGCCTAGAGAGAAGCAGAGCCTGAAAATCCCCCTATACATCCCTAAGTACTCGATAATTTTGAAATTCTCATCTGTAGGATCCAGCAAGTTTAAGACAAATAAAAGGAAGATTTATTTTTTTTTTAGTGTCTATAGTTATGTTCTGCATTTGTATAGATATTTATATTTAGAATGTCTGTATATAAGCATCTACTGGTTGTTGTATAAATGTGGGGCTGAGAGTGATTTCTGAATAATAGGGATTAAAATTAGATATCTTGGTGCAGCTTGAAGTCCAGGATATTCCTAAATTGCTGGTTTTCTGATGTCATTGGGTATCTCTGGGAAAGAGCATCCCAGACTTGTCCTGCTCTTGCACTACTTGGTGAGACATCTGTTAGCAGCTGTGGGAGACTATATGGATGTCAGTTCCAGTAGTCTGGCAACTAAACAGTGGCTTAAAAATGGAGAAAATCCCCCCTTTTACTCTGGTCTTTCCAGTCCTCTGGGCGGGTGGCTGTGAGAAGATGGTCTGCTCATGGGGGAATGTCCTGAGATTTATTTTGTGGACTCCCGGTGTGCTGAGAACATCCTGGTCTCACAATTATGTTCAGCTCATCTGTAACCCCCGCTGTGTTTGAGTGATACTCCCCACCAGCTCTGCTGGGTCTCACTCTGTGTGAGCCTCTAGGGTGGAGACCACTCCATCAAGCTACTTCAGATGTTATCTGAGCACCTTATTCCCTCTACAAATGAGGAAAGTTTAGGTAATGGAACCATTTTAAATCCTTTTATGTTTGGATTTTTTTTTCCCCCCCAGAAAGACCCAGTGGGAAGATTTTATATAATACTTTATTTGCATTCCCCTTGTGAGGCTGTGGCAAGTAGGAAGCTCTTTGATATATTTCTGAGAGCAATTCATTAAGTAAAAGACTTCTGGTATGGTATGTATTTCAGGAGCCAGCAGAGCTCTTGGTACATGAAAGGCCTGGCAGCAGCTCCATCCCAGGCTCCCCTTGTGTAAAGGTCATTAAGAAAAAACAGGGCAACTCCGCAGGTTTGTCCCATTTCTCCAGGCGGTGGGAGAGGGAGAGCTGCAAATCCTCCTTCCTGGCCAAGTCCATCCCTTCCATGTCCCACCAAGGGCAGTGGGGACTCAGTGCATGATTTGGGACCTCAGAGGCTTCTTCAGTTGATGGTCATGTTACCAGTCCACTGTGGAGCAGAGGAGCAGGCAGGGTGTGTGGATCACATCCGGATTATCCTACACCTTGCTCGTAGCACACTTCTTCTGTCCTCTCTGAGGAGCTGGTGGTGGAGGAGATGACTTGGTTTGCCATTTAATAGGAATATTGAACCAGTAGAAACAGAAGCACTCTGGTGGCAGGATGAGGTTGTGGGTTTACAATCTTGGGCCTTGATTGAAGGTGATTAGCTGGCTGGAATCATGAGTATCCCAAGGGCTGCTCTATCATAAGATTTCTGACAAGGGCCTGGAGTAACAGGATGAGGGGGTTTGGCTTCACACTGAGAGAGGGAGGAGTTAGGTTGGATATTAGGAAGAAATTCTTGGCTGTGAGGGTGGTGAGGCCCTGGCACAGGTTGCCCAGAGAAGCTGTGGCTGCCCCATCCCTGGAAGTGTCCAAGGCCAGGTTGGACGAGGCTTGAAGCAACCTGGGACAGTGGGAGGTGTCCCTGCCCGTGGAAGGGATTGCAATGAGATATCTTGAAGGTCCTGTCTCTCCATGCCCTAGGCATGTAGTCATGGCTACATGAAAAAGCTGCTATGTTGCCAAAGCAAAGGCAATAGTAGGTGTGGGGGGGATGTGTGAAGATTGTCTCTTGGGAAACAGCAGTTTTCAAGGCACAGTAGAACTTAGTTTTATGGAGAGTGGAAAAACCAAATTATCCGTGCAGATTTCTCTTGCAATTCCAGAGAATTTTTTTTTTTTTTAGCAGGCATTAGTGCTGCTTGACTTCCTGGATTCAAACACCAGGAAATCCTCCCTGATGGATGCTGCAGAGGCAGGTGGCAAGGAATCATGGTCTTGGACAGGTGCCACCTCACTAGGTCCAGAGTTGGACTGAGGCTCTTGTGACGAGATCTGCTGTCACATGAACTTCTGAAATCAGCAGGGAAGTTGTCTTGCTGGCTTAAATCCACTGACATCAGCAGGCAGCGTGTAATGCCCCGAATCCTTGGCTAACCAGACAAGCTCTGGAAAGTGAGTGGGCTGGCAGGACCTCTGTGAACCAAGATGTAATTCATTTCCCCCTGCTGGTAGACAGCCTGTGTCTGACTTGAGTTACCCATCCTTGGGTCTAGATCTGAAACAAAAATCAAGAGGGATGATCCCGGGGGCAGTTTGGGGTTTTCCATCTCATTGACATGTTCGTATCATAGCCCAGAGCCAGTCTGTACAATGAATTTGCTTGAGGTTGGCCACCACACTGAAGGCCTGTTGGGACAGGTGGGTGCTGGCAGATGCTGCAGTTGCTGTTGAGTTGTTTCCAAAAAGAAAAAGGGAAAACAAAAGACATACACTGGCTTTGTCAGACAATACATGTTGGTGTATACCTGCCTGATGGAGGAAGAAATTAAAGCCCTGAGTGGGGTGACCTGCTCATGATTAAAGAGCAGCTCTGAGAAAACCAGTTGCTTAATGGTTTTCTGCCTGTAATTGCTGGGTGATGTTCC